CTATCTCTTTGGATGAGAATGTTCCAAATCGGAATACTCAATCTTCATCATCTTCTCAAGTGCCAAAATGTCATGAGCCAAAAGCTCCTTTCCCTTATGCTTTGAGAGAAACCTCACCTCAAGAGAGGCAAGATGGGAAAATACTTGACATGATGGATGTTTTCAAACAAGTGAACATAAATCTTCCCCTCTTAGATGCAATTAAGCAAATTCCGCCTTATGCCAAATTCTTGAAAGATCTTTGCACACAAAAGAGGAGGAACAAAGGACAAGGTCCTAAGAAAGTGTTCATCACGGAGCAAGTGAGCTCCATTCTTCAACAAAATACTCCACTCAAATGCAAAGACCCCGGTGCTCCAACCATTTCATGTGTAATTGGAAATCACGAGATCCGGATAGCTCTTCTTGACTTAGGTTCAAGTGTTAACCTGATTCCTTATTCTGTGTATGTCCAATTGGGGTTAAATGAGTTAAAACCAACCTCGGTGGTGCTTCAAATGGCCGATAGATCCGTCAAAACACCTAGGGGTATGGTTGAGGACATCCTTGTCAAAGTAGACAAATTCTACTTTCCGGTTGATTTTGTAGTGTTAGACACTGAACCGGTTGCTAATTCCACTACTCAAATCCCAATCATCTTGCCAATGCCACTATCAATTGTAGGTCCGGAATCATGGATCTTTCTTTTGGCAACATGATGGTCAAACTCAATGTTTTCAATGCAAGTCGACATCCCATAGATGAAGATGAGTGTTATGTTATTGATGTGTTAGATGAGGTTGTTGAGGAATCAATTCCCACAATGATCATGAAAAAACCGCTTCAGGATGATCTCTCATCTCTTTTATCCGATGATCCTCTTACCTCATTTCTTCTTGAAATGTATGAGAGTTGTGGGTTTGATAATGAAAATTCAATCAATGAAGTAAGCAATATAATGGAATCCGTAGCAAGTTTGAATTGTCCACCATGGAAAACTCCAATTGAGCCTCTTCCTTCACTTTCTAGTACTCCTCCGATTCCATCTTTGGTATCTCCACCAACTCTTGAGCTAAAAAATTTGCCTTCTAATCTTAAGTATGCATTCCTCGCGACACTTTTCTGGTTATCATCTCTTCAAGCCAAGATGAGGACCAAGAAAATGCTCTACTTAATGTACTTAAAGAAAACAAAGAATCTATAGGGTGGAGTGTGGCGGACCTTAAGGGAATTGATCCTTCCATTTGTATGCATCGTATACTCATGGAAGAGGATACAAAACCCTTTAGGGATGCCCAAAGGAGATTGAATCCTAACATGAAAGAGGTAGTTAAGAAAGAAGTGGTGAAACTTTTGGATGCCGGAATCATCTACCCAATCTCCGATAGCAAATGGGTGAGTCCTACACAAGTAGTTCCCAAAAAGTCAGGAATTACCGTGGTTGAAAATGCTAAAGGTGAGGAAATCTCTAAGCGTACCGCCAACTCATGGCGTGTGTGCATTGATTACCAAAAATTAAATGCCGCCACTAGAAAGGATCATTTCCCTTTACCCTTCATTGATCAAATCTTGGAGAGATTGGCGGGGCAACAATACTATTACTTTCTAGATGGATATTCCGGTTACAACCAAGTGGCCCTTGACCCATTAGACCAAGAGAAAACCACCTTTACATGTCCATTTGACACATTTGCTTATAGATGGATGCCTTTTGGTTTGTGCAATGCTCCTGCTACATTCCAAAGGTGTATGATGTCTATCTTTTCGGATATGGTGGAAGAGTATCTTGAGGTCTTTATGGATGATTTTTCTGTTTTTGGGTCTTCCTTTGATGCTTGCCTCAAAAATTTGGACTTAGTGCTTAAAAGATGCCGTGAAACAAACCTTGTTCTTAGTTGGGAAAAGAGCCATTTCATGGTTCAAGAGGGAATTGTTTTGGGTCACGTCATATCTCGAAGAGGAATTGAGGTAGATAAGGCGAAAGTTGAACTCATCTCTGAACTACCCCCACCTTCAACGGTGAGGGAAGTTCGCTCTTTTCTAGGTCATGCCGGCTTCTATCGCCGCTTCATCAAGGACTTTAGCAAAATCGCTAGACCTTTGTGCAATCTTTTTGCCAAGGATACTCCTTTCATCTTCGATCAAGCATGCCTAGACGCCTTTCATAAATTGCGCACTTCATTGTCATCTGCTCCTATCATGCAACCTCCTAATTGGTCTTTGCCCTTTGAAATTATGTGTGATGCTTCTGACTATGCCATGGGGGCAGTTTTGGGCCAACGAGTAGGTAAGCTCCCTCGTGTCATATACTATGCAAGCAAAACCTTCTCAGGAGCTCAATTGAATTACTCCACTACCGAGAAGGAATTACTTGCTATAGTATATGCTCTTGATAAGTTCCGCTCTTATTTGCTAGGATCTAAGGTTGTTGTTTACTCTGATCATGCTGCATTGAGACATCTTTTAACAAAGAGGGAAACAAAACCTAGATTGATTAGATGGATTTTACTCTTCCAGGAATTCGATTTTGAAATCAAGGACAAAAAGGGCACCGAAAATGTGGTTTCTGATCATCTTTCCAGATTACAAATAGAGCCTTTCCCTAGTCCTCCAATTCATGATTCTTTCTCGGATGAACAACTTTTTCAAGTCTCAAATGGAATAATGCCTTGGTTCGCTGATATTGTGAATTATTTGGCAATAGGCAAGCTTCCAACCTTTTGGTCAAAGAACGACAAAAATCGTTTCTTTGCCAACATCCGGAATTACTATTGGGAAGACCCTGTTTTATACCGTTATTGTCCCGATCAAATTGTGAGAAGATGCATTCCGGAGAGTGAAATCCCATGTGTCCTAGTGTTTTGCCACACACTTGCATGTGGTGGGCATTTTAGTGCAAAGAAGACCGCCCTAAAGGTTCTTCAAAGTGGGCTCTTTTGGCCCACTATTCATAGAGATGCCTACAACTTTTGCAAGTCGTGTGAGAGGTGTCAAAAGATGGGAACAATGTTTAAAAGAGATATGATGCCATTAACTAATATATTGGTTGTTGAAATTTTTGATATTTGGGGCATTGATTTCATGGGTCCATTTCCTATGTCATATGGTTATCAATACATTCTTCTTGCCGTTGATTATGTTTCTAAGTGGGTTGAGGCTTGTGCTACCAAAACAAATGATCACTCCGTGGTCATTCAATTCATTAAATCCAATATCTTTGCTCGTTTTGGTATGCCAAGGGCTATGATAAGTGATGGAGGAAAGCATTTTTGCAATCATTTCTTGAGGCAATTATTTCTTAATTATTCCGTCACTCACAAAGTAGCCACTCCCTACCATCCTCAAACAAGTGGACAAGTTGAAGTGTCTAACCGGGAAATTAAGCATATCCTTGAGAAAACGGTTAACCCCACCCGGAAAGATTGGTCAAGAAAGCTAAATGTTGCTTTGTGGGCTTATCGTACGGCATATAAGACTCCCATTGGCATGTCCCCTTATAGAATTGTTTATGGGAAGCCTTGCCATCTTCCAGTTGAGCTAGAACACAAAGTCTTTTGGGCAGTTAAAAAGCTCAATTTTGACCTAGCCAAAGCCGGAGAGAATAGGCTACTTCAATTGAATGAATTGGAAGAACTAAGGCACAATGCTTATGATAATGCCAAGCTCTACAAAGAAAGAACCAAAGCCTTCCATGATAAGCATATTGTGAAGAAGTCCTTAGAACCCGGTCAAAAAGCTTGGCTTTTCAACTCTAGGTTAAAACTCTTTCCCAGCAAATTGAGAACCAAGTGGGAAGGTCCCTATGAAATTATCTCGGTTGCACCGCATGGAGCGGTAGAGATACAAGACTTGAAGAAGGGGAACATCTTCAAGGTGAATGGGTAAAGATTGATACCATACATAGAGGGTCAAGTCTTTCAAAGACATTTAGAGGCTGCAAATCTTATTGACCCGGTGTATGAACATATTGATGAAGATTTTGACAAAGAACTCAAGACATCTTTTGAGTTAAATCCAACAAGTTCTTCCAAGAACCATTTGTTGGGTGGAACTCAAAACATCTCTCATCCCAAAAAGGAGGGGATGCATTGCAAGATCTTTGATCCGGGTTAAAAGAACCCTAGGTCTTGCTAGAGACATTAAAGACTAGCACCGAAATTCGTAGGATGTCAAAACCCTATTCCTCCCTCATTTCTATCTTGCATTTTGATTCTTGCGAAGTCTAGATACTGTTTTTGTGGTTCATATACATTGGAAGGAACTGAGTAAGGGATTGCATGAGCATTTAAGTCATTTTGAGCATTTAGGCACAATTTCGATCGATCCAAGCCTTGGTTTGATCGATCAAACTTAGGTTCGATCGATCCAACTATGGACTTGATCGATCCAGCTCTCATTTTGCACCCAACACTTAGAAAAATTTTGGACCTGCATCCAAACTCCAAAATGCATGCTCTCGGGATCTCCAAAGTTTCAAAAGTTCGATCGATCGTAAACCATTTCGATCGATCAAAATACCTTTCGATTGATCCAACATGTGGTTTGATCGATCATGAGTCCCAACACTTAGAAAAATTTTGGACCTGCATCCAAACTCCAAAATGCATGCTCTAGGGACTTTTCAAAATTTTTCATGTTCGATCGATCGAATTCCAAGTTCGATCGATCCAAGGTTCCAACACGTGTCAACTCTTGAACCCTTAAACTTGTACATTCTTTATCCTTTTCGATCGATCGAAATCTTTCTTCGATCGATCGAAATTTGATTATTTGAAAAAAAAAAAAAAAAAAAAAAAATTTATACTGTCACTATTACTGTATTATACTTCCAGATGTTTTATGCTTTCATTTCTTTTATTCTGGATCTGTATTATACTGTCACTATTACTGTATTATACCTTGCGGCCGGTCTGTCGGCTTTATTATTTTATTGATGTACCTGCACTTTATATTCTCTATATATTGCTTTTTGATTATGGATGTCTCTTAGTATCTCATATTTGTATGTTTGACTCCATCAGGTACACCACAGTGACTTCAGTGAGAGAGTGCTGCCTAATTTTTCAGGACCACTCTTACACCTCTCTCTCTATTCTCTATTTATCCCATCTTACACTTGCATGTCCACTGTGCACTGATTATCCTATCTTGTTATCTAATGAGTTTATTCGAGTGCAAACTTTTCAGGACCACAGTTTATCCCAAGTTTGGGGGGGCCATGCCACCCACTTTGGATACTTCTATCCCGATCATTCATGTCTAAAGCACTGGTATACTCTTTCTTTTGTTCTCTTCACACATTGAGGACAATGTGCAGTTTAAGTTTGGGGGTATTGGTGTATGTTTCAGTGTTACTTTAAAATTCAAATTTTGAGCATGTCTTGTGTATTTGAGGGATATTTCTATACTTGGTCCATTTCTAGCTATGATTTTGATCTTTTGAGGACTATATTGCTTAAAATTTAAAAATTGCTTGACTTGAGAGTCCAATACTCCTTGTATGCCTTGAAGATGCCATTTAGGAGTAAATTTTTCAAAAGATTGATATCTTGCTTGCATTTGTGGTCCACATCATCCTGATTTTGTGATTGTTTTGAGATTCATTCTAGGATTCTACATTAGCACCGGCGCACGCTAGCATTCAATTGTGGGGTACATGCTTTGTTGATTATTGAATTGGTTATATCCCAATTGGGCTAGTAGTGCATTGAAAGCTTTCATTCTTGATAAAGGTGGATAACAACCCCTTTCCATTGAGTAGCCGGGATTCTTGCCTCATTAAGCAGTGAACTTCTCGCGCCGAAAGGTGGAGGGCCCAAACTCTAGGTTAATAATTGAATTGAAAAAAAGAAAAAAAGAAAAAGAAGAAGTTACAAAAAGCAATAAAAGTGAGGACTTCTCCCAAAAGGTGAGAAGTGGGAAATGATTAGATGGTTGTTGTCTTGATTTGTAGCCTAGTTGATTTGAGTTTGTAAGTCCGTAGGGGTGTCTTAACACCTAATGCCCTAAAGCCATCTGGTTTGGGAGTCATTGACCTAAAGCTCGCTACATGAATCTTCTAGAAAGCTTAAGAGATCAACACATTGCACAATACTTCCATCTTTGATCCTCAATAAAAATAAAAAAATAAAAAAAATAGAGTGAAAAGAATAAGCGCACCTAGAACAATAAAGCTTTAATAAAAGGTCCACTCTCTTATCTTGATGATCGGTACTAGATTTGTGTGCTAGTTTGAGGGTAAGGATGTGATTACTTCTCTAGTTGGCTAAGATAGCAACACACTTGATGCCGGACCTCTCACATGGATTCTAGACTTGTTTCAATTTTCATGATCATTTTCTTGATATGTGGAGGACCATACTTGCTTGCTTGATATTGAAATTTTGGGAGATTGTTTAGAAACGGTTGAAAAATTGCATACTTGAGGTAGTTTTCTCCCAATGCTTGTTTGCAATATTGGTGCCTCTTTTGAAAGAATGAGCTTAATGTTTGTAGGTACCATTTCTGGAAACCCTCACGAGATTTTACTCGTCCACTAGGGGTAACTTAGGGGTTTAAAAGGCTTGTTGCATATGCTAAATGCAATCGTGTTCCCTACGAAAGTGGCGCTATCATTTTACTTGCTTTCCAGTTTATACTTGTTTAGTTGTTCATTTCATTCTTTTACTTCTTAGTTCATTGCTAGGGACTAGCAATATTTAAGTTTGGGGGTGTGATGAGTACTAAAAAGTGCGCATTTAAATCCGTTAAGCTTAAGCATTCTAGTACCTTTATCTATCTTACTTTGCCGTTTTAGACTTATTATGTGTTATTTATATTTTCAGGCACTAATCCCAAAATTGAGCTAACTCAGCCAAATAAGAGCTTAATTGAAGCAATCCTGAGATAAACCAAAGGAGGGAGCAAAGTGGAAAAAGAAAGGAGCAAAAATGAGTCAAAGTTGTGCAGCTGAAAAGTTCGATCGATCCAACTTAGAGTTCGATCGGTCAAACATCTATGATCGATCACAGTACTTCTCGATAGATCCAACCTTGGCCTTTGCTGAAATTCCAAGTTCGATCGATCGAACATCACCTTCGATCGATCGAACCCTATTTTGTCCTATTCCAATGATTGATCTTATCCACAGCTGTACGCCTACCAACCACTTTTGTCCTTTTCCCAATAAATATCTTCGAAATATCTCAGCCTTGTTCTTATCCGGAGGAGTCAGACCACTTCGATCGATTCAAGATGCAGTTCGATCGATCGAACCCATCTTCGATCGATCCAAGTTAAGGTTCGATCGATCGAACTTCCTCCAGCGAGAAAAAGTTAAAGTCCAGCTCATTTATTCCGTCCTTCACCCAATCATTGGAGAATATGCCCTGCACGACCACAGCTCATCATAGGGTGTATTTGACCTACCTATATAAGGAATATGATACACTTTTTGGTGAGGAGTCTAGAGTCTCTTGTCACACATTGAAAATCATCTTGGAGGTGGAGAGGAAGAAGGGAGGAAGCTAGAGCAACCATTGGAGGAGATCTTCATCTACAAGGAGCAGTCATGGAGTTAGCCCTTGAGGGTTGGATCATCACTACCATGAGTGGCTAGACATCTTCTTAGGGCTAGAGTTAGCCCCAAACATGCTTTCTTTACCTAATTTTGTGTAATTTTGAGGGATTTGTGTTGTAATGCATATTTTGATTCTTGAACTTATGAAGATTTTGATTATTCATTGAGTTCTATGGATTAATGCTTCTAATTGATCATTTTCTCTATCTATATGTCTATGTATGCTAGAGTAGATGCTCACCTCTAGATTTAATGTTATTGATGCATGTCTATGTGTATTAATGCCTTTAATCTTGAGATTGCCAAAATATGAAGTTCTTAATGTAATGCTCTTGTTATGTCTCTAGATGGTTCATACTTATTCCTTGATGGATTGTGTTTCTCTTTTAAGTAGTGTAGTGTTAGTTGGGGAAACAATTCATGCTTGTTCTTTGATGTCCCATGCTTTTGAATGCAAGAAGCATATGCTCTAATTTTGTGGTGTAAAGGAATTTTGAGCTTAATGAAGGATTAATGATTAGTTATGATATGTTGTATCTTTCACATGTGTTTAGACAATTTATTCCTCTCCCAATAGATATTTTGTACCTCTCACATGATGATTAGATAATGCATGTTTAACTAAGTCATCCTTATGGATTGCTTGGACTATGAGCTTAATGAAAGGTTCAATGACTTGAATTGTTATTTTGTTATCTTCACATGATGTTTAGACAATATATTCCTCTACCAATAGATGTATTATGGCCTCACACATGTTGATTGAGACAATTTGCACTTTTTGAGTCACCCTTACCAATTGAATATCTTTTACACACACAATATTGTTGCAACACATTCATTTCCCTCATTAGTCACTTGATTATGGTTTGGAATAGTTTTGTTTGGTGGTGATCTCTACACCCCAAGACCTTTCCTTCTTACTTACTCTTTATCTTATTGCATTGCTTTATTATAGTTTAGCTCATTTAGTATAATCAACCAACCAACCAATTGTGTGATCACTCGACCTACTAACCCTAATTACCATAGTTCACAATTCGATACACCATCAAATCCCTTGGGACGATCCCTACTCGCCCTAGCTATATTTTATATAGAGAAAGGTAGTAGTGGCTTTTTATAAATGCAAAACTTGGCCACCTCCTAAACACGCATAACTCTCAAGCTTTGTTGGTTATGGCGACTCCATCAAGGAAACCGACAACAAGTTTTTGGCGCCGTTGCCGGGGATTTTAAATTGGCAACGTCGAATTGTGAATTTCAATTAGGATTAGTATTCTTTTGATCGTGTTTTTACTTTCTTTTTATTTTCTGTTTTTAATTACTTATTAAGTTTGTTCTTCATTAACAAGGTGCATTGAGCAAGGAGCTAGCAAAGTAATTCCAAGCTAAGGAGCAAAGCAAAGCAAAGGAAAAATGCTTAAAATGAAGAGTTGCTAAAAAAATTTTGCTAAGCTAAGCTTTTAAATTTGGAGTTGAAGTGTTAAAGGACTATTGTGAGACCTTCTTACTCAATCTCCTTAGTTAAATTGGGGGCCCACGTGGTGGCATTGCATATCATTGAAAGCATGGGAGTATGGGAATTATTGTATATGGAGGAAGTTGATGATATTTGACTTGTTGTGGAGGAGAAGTGTTTGGTTGATTGCTTTGTTGTGATTTGTAGTCTTTACTTGATCATTCACTCTAGGCATTCACATGGAAAACCTAGAGGGTAATCTTGGCCACCTAGACCCGCATTTCATGCAAAACCTCCCTCCCGATCAATACGGTCTCGGAGCTCAAGGTCCAATGCCTCCAATGGTACTTCGTGACTATTATGATCTCCATGCATACCATGCACCTTCTTGTATCATGTTGCCTAATTTCGAGACAAATCAATATGAAATCAAGCCCGAAACTATTCAATTGTGTCCACTTTTCCATGGTCTAAATGATGAGGAGCCTTATAAGCATCTAAATGAATTCTTTGAAATATGTTCCACCATTAGATACATGAATGTCCCGGAGGAAGTGATTAGACTACTCCTTTTCCCTTTCACACTCAAAAGTAAGGCAAAACATTGGTTCAATACTTTGGAAGCAAATTCTATAACTTCTTGGATGCAAATGCAAAATGAATTTTTAAAAAAGTTTTATCCCATGAGTTTGACCAATGCTATGCGTACTTCAATTAGAACTTTTTCTCAAAAGGAAGGGGAGTTATTACATGAGGCTTGGGAAAGATTGAATGACTTGCTAGGGAAATGCCCACATCATGGCATTCCAAAATGGCAAGTGGTTCAATCCTTCTATGAGAGCCTATCCGACATTCATAAAGACATTGTTGATACATCATGTGGAGGATCGTATTTTGGGAAACATGAGGATGACATTTGGCAACTCTTTGAGAAGATGAGCGAAAACTCTTTGCAAAAATTTTATACTTCTCAAATTGACCATGAACGAAAAGAGAAGAAGAAAAATTCTCAAGTTTGTCAAATAGAGAGTTCAATGGGAATTGTAGCCGAGATTAAAACTGTTTCTCAAAAGTTTGACCAATTCTTGTTAAATCAAAAACCGGCTAACAATTCCTATCCTCATCATCATACCTCTCAAATGAATGAGCCTTGTATGACATGTTCAAGTGTTTTGCACACTACTTTTGATTGTCCCCACGGACATGCTTATAATGAACACTATGAACAAGTCAATGCTACATTTGCTCATCCCTATTCCAATGCTTATGTTCCAAGGTGGAATGGACATCCAAATTCTTTTCAAGCTCAGAATTTTTAAAACAAGTACATTCCACCTCACAAGGGAAATGAAAGTTTTCAAGGGTTCACTCCTTCATATCATCAAAGAATGAATAATTCTTCACATCCTTAATTGTATGAATTCCAAACGGAGCATCATTCTCCTCATGCACTTCACAATGATTCTACATTTGTAGATAAGGTTTTAATGGCTTTGGATAGCTTAGAGAAGAACACAAATTTGTTGCATTCACACTCTCAATCTATATTAAAGCTGGAGTCCCAAATCGGGATCATAGCTAATTCATTGAATACAAGGGAAGTGGGTAAGTTACCTAGTCAACCCGAGAGGAACCCAAAAGCTCAATTTTGTGTGGAGGCAAACTCTACGTCGGAGAATGCCTCACAAGTTCAAACACAAGCAATCACTACTTTGAGAAGTGGTAAGCAAGTTGACAATAAGGTTGAGTTGCCAAAGGAGGATAGTGAATCGGTGCAACCAAATGTTGTCACTCATCAAAATTCTAATTCCATACCTCTCTCTTTGGATGAGAATGTTCCAAATCAGAATACTCAATCTTCATCATCTTCTCAAGTGCCAAAATGTCATGAGCCAAAAGCTCCTTTCCCTTATGCTTTGAGAGAAACCTCACCTCAAGAGAGGCAAGATGGGAAAATACTTGACATGATGGATGTTTTCAAACAAGTGAACATAAATCTTCCCCTCTTAGATGCAATTAAGCAAATTTCGCCTTATGCCAAATTCTTGAAAGATCTTTGCACACAAAAGAGGAGGAACAAAGGACAAAGTCCTAAGAAAGTGTTCATCACGGAGCAAG